GAGGAGGAGGAGGCGGAGGAGGAGGAGGAATAATAAGAAGAAGAAGAAGAAGAATAATAATAACACTACGAATATTAATAATTTTAATAATAATAATAGTAATAATACTAATGATAATAATAATACTAATACTATTATTATTAATAATAATAATAATACTAGTAATAATAGTAGTAGTAGTGATAATGATACTAATAATAATACTATTATTAATGATAATAATAATACTAATAATAATAATAATCATGATAATAATAATACTGATGATGATGATGATAATAATAGTAATACTAATAATAGTACTAACAATAATATTAATCATAATAATAATAATACTATTAATACTAATACTAATACTAATACTAATAATAATAATATTATTAATGATAAGAATAATAATAATAATAAGAATGGTAATAGTAATAATAAGAAGAAGAAGAAGAAGAAGAGGAGGAGGAGGAGGAGGAGGAGGAGGAGGACGAGGACGAGGACGAGGGGGAGGAGGAGGAGGAGGAGGAAGAGGAAGAGGAGGAGGAGGAGGACGAGGAGGAGGAGGAGGAGGAGGAGGAGGAGGGGGAGGAGACGCCGAAAACGACCAACAAATCATCCGTAACAATTGTTCCGAGGTGTTCCCCCGATATCCTCCGGAGGCTGGCGCCCCAGGGAACGGCAGCGCCGGAGCCGCGCCAGAGCCGCCGGCCCTGGAAGCTGGCGGCGAGGCGGGCGGCGGCAGGCCCAGCCCTCCAGCGTCGGAGCCGCCGGCCTTGGACGCTCGCGGCGAGGCGGCTGGCCGCCGAGTGAAGAAAATCATCAGGCAGTGGCGAATGGAGGGTGTCTCTAGAAGGCTGAGACGACCCGTCCTCCTCCCCCTCCTCCTCTTCCCCCTCCTCTTCCTCCTCCTCCAGGAGCAACTCTGGCACAATACCCGCCTCAGCTCCGACCGCGCATCTGCTCATTGAGCCCCATGTGAGCAGTACGTCATAGGGCAGCGCAGCGGGGTTGGGCCGTCTCGGGCCCGATAGCTGCATGGGCACACTACCTCTGAGTTGGCTTCTCATAGTGAAGATTATGTTTCATAACGTGCAGAGCGCAGATTTCGCGCGCATCGAGGAGATCTCCGAAAACACGGCGAACAACGACCTGGTCATATCTTTTGGCAGTGGGACAGCTGCTCACATTGAGACAGGGACTACGCAGTGCCAGCTTCCTCATCACAAAGCTATCCAGCTTGGATGGCGAAAAACAGAGTCACGAATCGAAGCTGTGGCTTAGCACTGTTGTACGGCGAGAGGCTCAACGGCACCGTGTCCAACATTCAGGTGCCGCCGACGTCTCCTGGCCTATCTGGGAGATTGGGTTTAGTCAAGTTTCATTTGGGGAGAATGAGTCTCGCAGTGTTTGTTATTTACTTACCACCTAAAGGACCTGCTGCCAAACTATTACACAACACCGTGAAGACAGCTTTTGGTTGGATTCAAAATGAGATGGATCGCATGGGCAACCATTGTTTACCGATGATCATGGGAGATTTAAATTGTGCGTTTGGGGTCCGCACAGACGTCACGGGCAGGAGCTACGTGCGGATTAATAACGAGGTTGGCATCAACGAGCCCGTTTTGGAAGGCAACGTTTTTACGATGATTTGAGAGTTCCTGGAAAAGAATCACATGGCGGTCGCGGACACATTCTGGACATCAGGGGCGACCTTCTTCCAGGGGATGCACAGAAGTAAGATTGACCACGCCATTATGCCGCAGTCTGCCGTCCCCCGCATCACGATACTTAGCGCGCTGCAGGGTTTGGGACGGAGGTTATAAAACATTGTATCTACACATATACAGGACCATGTGCCTGTCTTGGTGCAGATGGACATCGGAGTGTGCAGGGCCCATCTGGTTCATTTCGCACCACTTGTAAACCGCGATGCGATGCTGGCGGCCTACACCAGAGGTCACCGAGGGCAAGGGCTTCTTGAGAAAATCGAAGGACGTGCGCGGCAGATCACACAAGACGACTGGAGGCAGATTTGGGGCCGTGGCGACGCGCAGGCAGCGTGGGACTTTCTGCCGGGCTGGATTCGCGAAAGCATGACAGAACATTTCCCGAACCAAGAGAACAACACCATCGACTACGAGCAGATGCGCGAGCAGAGAATGCAGCTTATCAGAGAGCGTGGTGACCTACGTGAGAAACTACATCGCGCTGGCAGCAAAGCATTCGAGGGCAGCGGCTCTAGCGAATGCGACAGAAGCGAGCAGCAGCTGAAGATCATGACGCGCCGCATGCAGGGGCTTCGCAGGGAGCAGAAATCGGAGAAGACGGAGACTCTAGCCAACGAGATCATGAAGGCCTGGAGGTGTGGCAAAATGGCAGAGATGCACATAATACGGGTCGCGTTCTCGGGAACGGGCAAAGGTCCCCAAAAGAGGTTGTTGTTCTCAGCCAGGCAGACGATGACTACGACAGAATGGGAAGTGGGACTGGCCAAAGCCCCACAGGACGGAGGAATGCAGTGTGCCCGATTGAACTGAGGAGATTGGATCGGCGATCACAGTTTCTTGCCACACTTGCATCAAGAGCCTGGCCTCATAGAGCTCGTGCGCAGCGACAGGGTGGGGCAGATCGGGTATCTTCGTCGGGTGGGCCTTCGTGGGGAGTGCCAGCGGAGGCCCTCGGCATGTGCTTCGATCGTCGCATGCGCCGTTTTTCAAGGCATAAGACATACGCACCAGAGACGTTTAGCAGGCGTTACAATGATTTGCCTGCTTTGATTTGGATTGTCGGATTCGCTCCGCTTTCGTCGCTCCGCTCGCAGTCGCTTGCGCACGCCAAGAACAATGGCAAGATGGGCGTCAAGGGGCAGAGGGCCCTCCATTGCTTTGACGCGTTCGGCATGTCGCTTTTCGGTCATCTCCGCAAAGTTCCTCGTCGACCTGTGCCCCCCTGATTTCGCTCGCGGAGGCGTGCGAGGGCGGAGGGGGGAGGGGTGCATCTTGTCACTTTCGGCGGCTATGTGGAGATGCAGAGATGGGGAAGTCAGCCATGCTGTCTCGAACTTCGACTGAACGAACGCTTTCGCGCGCGCTCAGAGGGAAACGCTGAGGGAGCATCATGCGCAGCACGGGCGCACAGAACGTCGGGCTTCTAGACCAGGCAGTTAACGTGGCCAGCATCCACGCCACGGGAATCGACGGCGAGATAGACCTCCCCCCCCACATAGGCACTGCCATGGGGCACTCTATGGCAGTTGGGGGCTTCGTAGACGTGTGCTCACCGACAGTTGCTTGCTGGAAGGATGAATTAGCTGGTTCGGATGTTAGCTGCAGTTGGCTTCGAGGCCCCTGGGCAACTGGCGTGGGGCGGGGTGGGTGGGGGTGGGGGTGGGGGTGGGGTGGTGTGTTGTGTGTGTTGTGGTGTGTGTGTGTGTGTGTGTTGTGTGTGTGTGTGTGTGTGTGTGTGTGTTGTGAGTGGGGTGGGGGGGGGGGGGTGGGCGTGTGTGTGTGTGTGTGTGTGTGTGTGTGTGTGTGTGTGTGTGTGCGTGTGTGTGTGTGTGTGTGGTGGTGTGTGTGTGTGTGTGTGGTGTGTGTGTGTGTGTGTGTGTGTGTTGTGTGTGTGGGGGGGGGGGGGGGATAGGGATTGGCCTCTTCGTAGACGACGTAACGAGAGTATACGCGTATACGCGCCTAACGGCGATCGCACTGCACGGCAGCTGAATCACGCAACAGAGAAGATCCAAGCACATATACAAGTATACGGACATCGTTTGAACGCAGACAAGACTAATGACCTCATCGTTTTGTGCGGAGACGGCTCGTTTCAGACCGCCAAGGAGCTCGCTAGGAACTTGTTTTTCCTCCAGGGAGAAGTGCGCCGAGAAAACCTCGTCCTCGGGCCCGCCCCCAGTTTTGACGGCAAACTGAGAACCGGATTCAAAACCAATATCCGAGGGGCTCGAGCAGCTTGGCGATCTCAAGGCGCAGCGTGGCATCAGCCGCTTCATCGCAGACAGTTGAGAATTATTTTTGTTTCGTGTGCAGCGCGGCCATCGCAGGATTGAGGGCCTTCGTGTTGCCGCTGGAGTTCACCGATGCACCGGGCGCCGCCCTCGTCAAGTTACTTAGATGTTTGATGCGTGGACAAGCTAGGCAGCAATGCGGAGATCGGGCCCGTGCACTTAGCAGTGCACAGGTTTTCGAGCGTTGGGAGTTATGTGTCCCAGCCGCAGAACTTCGCGCGCAGCGCTTGCGGTGGCACGGGGCCATGGCGCGAGAACCCGGTAATCATAAGCAGGTGCTCATGGCAATTTTCGGCGCCACGGAGCTAGACCGTCAGCTTGGACGGCCACGTCTCACTCTTGGAGGGCGCCTAACGCAGCGCAGTACTCTGTGGGCGCGGCAGTGCAAGCAATGCCTGCTGGCATCGGCAGCGTTGGACAGCACGGTCGGAGACGATTGGCACGAGCGTGAAAATGTTCTCGGCGTTTTTTTACCAACGCGAACCTCGCCCTCACCTTCTTCAAAGCAGACATACCCAAGAATAGGGGCCTCCTTGCCCCCGCAAGCGCAGCTAGAATGCAACGGCGCGCGAGCACGACGGCGCGAACAGCGAGCCCAGCACAGTTATCGATGAATGGATATGGGCGCATGAGAAAGACGACGGCCCCCCCCTGTGCCAGCACGTTTTAAACATTTATAGGTTCGGCGGCGCATATCACGCATGCGCGCCGCATGAGGCACGCGCACCCCGTGCTCAGTTGCACGAACGTATGTCCCTGGTGCAGATCAGCCTTTGCATCGCGCGCGTCATGCTTACGACGCTGCCCCACTATGGACAGGAGAGTGCCGCGTGCCTGCCCCACTCGCTCAACGTCCTTTGCTTTTCGGCCCATTGAGCAGCATGCGCGCGTGTGCGGCCACTGCGTCGCGGAGCATGCCGAGCTCAAGGATCACCTTGCGCGCGCGCACTCGCGCTGAAAGGCCCGATGGCGCAGAGCTGGGGAGTCGCGACCGACGGGCGGCGGGCGAGAGGGCCCTCGGACGGAAGCGCGCCGCAGCCTTCGCGCAAGACGGCCCGTGGCGAACCGAAGAAGCAGAGTGGCGAATCCGATGGCTTAGAGAGGAGCGGCGAGGAGCTACTCGCCATGGACAAGCTGACTCTCAACGACGCGCAGCAGATGCGGGCCATGTCAGGCAGTCTCTGGGATTTGTCCTGGTGGAGGGCGGAGAGCATCCAGCGATTCTGGCGGGATCGGGGGCTGGGGCCAAACGCGCCGAGCGCAGCCAGGCGGGCGAGAAGGACATGGGCTCCCCGCGCGTACACGTGGCAGCGGAGTTCCTGGGGGCGCTCGGCAGGATGGACAATTTGCCGCCCACGACCAAGAGCGACATGGAGACGCTCGGCCTGATCATGGACGTGATGGGGCACGATGAGCTGGCGGACCGAGTGAGGTACCTGCGAATCAAGAAGGCCCACGCAGAGCAAACGCAATCAGAGCGCTGGAAAGAACACATCATGCTGACCCCCCTGGGCACCACGCCGTTCACGACGGAGAACGAGGCCGAGGTCAACAATATCCGCGAGGGGAACACCGAGGGGCCTCTGAAGTTCGACGCGCTCAGCATCCCGCATATACGCAGCATGATCTAGACGGCGATGAAGGCCACGGGCGGAACGGCCGTTGCGGGCGCGCCTTCTCCCACAGCGCTCGAGAGGCAGGTCCTGGAGTTCGTCCGCCAGCGGCAAGCGGCGGCGTAGACATGGCAGGACTGCGCCGACAGGCGCAACGAGGCAGCGCGAGGGCAGCATAATTTTGTTGAAGCGCCTCGGAGGGAAACCACCTCCAGGCAAACGGGATGATCGGGCTGTGTGCTCGGATTTATCAGCACGGTTGAGTTTGTGCCAAACTAACTGGGGGCCAAGGGGGCCGTGCGGAGATAGGACGGTGACCTCCGGTTCGCGGCGCAGAGCGCCAGATTGTTTTGCTAGAGGATGCAGGCCCCGCCTGTTCCGTCCTCGTCGCCGCTGCCCCGCTGGGCCCCTGGCCCCAGGTCCCCGCCCCTCTCCTGGCGTCCTGGCTTGGTGTCTGGAGGCGACTTTGAGGGGCCCTAGGAGCCTACCTAGTCTGACTGATTTTTTTGGAGTGGGCATTGCCCACAAACCGACTGGCGGGAGGAGGTGGGGGTGGGGGGGGGGAGTTGGAGTGGGGAGGAGCTACTCTTGCAACAACTCTGACGCGAGGAGGTTTTTCAAACATCAGTTTGAAGATTGAGAACCTCGCCCGAGCGTGAGGGGGATGCACCATAGCGCGATGACCTCTCACCCGTCCAGAGCTGTAAGCGTCGGAGGGAATTCGGCCCACCGTCGAAGCGGGCCCGAGAGGCTCAATGGGCCATGGGTCCCGCAGGCATCCCTCTGCCACGCCAAATCATCTAACCAGCAGCGAGTAGCTCGAGTTCCAGGCGAGCAGCCTCGTTTCAGCCGTCGAGACAGAGGTGAACCGAACTGCCAAGGCTTCCTCCTCCTCCTCTCCTCCCCCTCCTCCTCCTCCGATCCGCTCGCTCCTCCTCCTCCTCCTCCCTCCCCTCCTCCCCTCCTCCCCTCTCCTCCCTCCTCTCCTCCTCACTCTCTCCTCCTCCTCCACCTCCTCCTCCTCCTCCTCCTCTTCCTCCTCCTCCTCCTCCTCCTGCTCCTCCCCCTCCTCGTTTCGAAGCGTCTTGGCTTGCCAATGCGCCCACCAACGAATGCTCTAAGAACCTGTTTGTGTGGCTTGCAGGAAAGGTTCTCAGAACAGCATGGCTGAGAGCGTCTGACTTTGATCCATCGGGGCGGTGTCCGGAGAACGGCGCTGTTTATCATATAATATTGTTTTGTAGAATTTTCTGGTAGGCCTATGAGAATACCGGGGCGGCTGGTCTCTTCTCAATAGCGAAGAAGATCAGAGTTTCGAGTCATCAGGATTTGGGGCGGTCGGGGATTGGTACACATTCGAGCCTCGGGGGCCCAAGCCGGAGTTACCTGGGAGCGCAGTTGCCATGGACAACTCGGGCGTCCACCCCTCCCGAATCATCAGGGCTGGGGGCAGTCAGAGGTAACTACAGATTCGCGCCTCGGGAGTCCAAACTGGAGTTGCACCGGACAGCAGCCGGACAACCCAGACGTCCACGACGAGAGAGCGGCACCCTGAAGTCCCCCATAGGTCAAGAGCTGATGGATCGCGTGTCGCTCCGCCGGTTCTGGCCCGCAACGCCTCGGTGCCACACGCTGTCCACTGTAGGGCCCCCCCCCACGTTAGCGTCCCGAGCTGTTCCGAAGCCATCCACTCGCAGGGCATGGCGTGTCGCCGGGGCCGCCAGAGCGACACGCTATCCAAAAGTTCCCGAACGTAGGTTTAGATCGGGCATGTCCCCCTACAGGCGGACCTTGGACAAACAAATTAACAATAGTCAAACGATTACAAAACATATTCAAAGATAGTCAAACCATCGTCCCCATACTATTTTTGACTATTTTTGAATGTTCCTCCGGCAGAGGGACATGCCCGACTTAAACGTAGGTCTCCCAGATGGGGTTCGATCTGGGAGGCCTCGAGATCCTGGCGTAACAGTTTTTCACACCGGGCGCCGTCGCCCAGTTCCGTGCGCCCCGGGACCATCGCTCATCGATCTGGCTGGAACGACGCGCCGAGAGGAGGAGGAGGAGGAGGAGGAGGAGGAGGAGGAGGAGGAGGAGGAGGAGGAGATGGAGGAGGAGGAGGAGGAGGAGGAGGAGGAGGAGGAGGAGGAGGAGGAGGAGGGCCTGCAGGGCTCCGGTTGTGACTTCTCGCGATGGCGCAACGTCTTCGCAGCGTCGGAATCTCAGGGCAGAAGCATAAAAACTGTCCGAGCTCCGCGCGGATTTCTCGGATCGGCGCGGGGCCCCCCCTCGGCGGCGCCCACGGCGCCGCCCCCCCAGGCACGATCTTCCTGCGCCAGGGGGAGGGGTCGGCGCCGCCTCCCAGGCGCGCTCCGCGCGCCAGGGGGGGGGGGCCCAGCGCCGATCCAGGAAGTCCCCCCCCGAGCCTCCGACCCCAGTGAGGCGATGTTTGATATGTTTTTCCGCGCGAGGCCCGCGGAAGTCCCCCGGGGCTGGTTTTCATGCCAGGCAGTTTTGTTGACGGTCCGGGGCCTCGGCGGCCTCGGCTGGGGGTCGGAAGTGACCAGACCTCCCGCCGTATTTTCTGTTCCACGGCGCGAGCATGTCTCAGAGGAGCGAAAGTTCATGATAACGATGCGTTCGAAGTCTTCCTGGAACGCATCCTGACCCAGTCCTATCGTGACGTCAGGCCTCCCGTCCCATTGTCTTGGGCTCTAGCGTCATTCCCGTCCTAATGTCTCTAGGCCTCCCAGATGCGGTCGGAGCAGATGGAGTCGGAGGGTCGCGCCGCATCGCCGATGCATCGGCGATGCAGCTCAATGCGAAGCCCGATTTTCTCCACGCTGGCGTCGCCGATGCATCGCCGATGTCGCCGATGCATCGGCGATGCATCGGCGATGCGGCGCGATCCTCCGACCCAAATCTGCTCCGACCCCATCTGTAGGAGGCCTCTTGATGTCTTGGCCGGCTGGTGCTCGCGGCGTTCCTGCTTCCCCTCTGGACGCCCGGCATGGGCACGAAAAGAATGGGTACGATGCCCAACAGCAGTTCCTGTTCATCTTGAACAGGACTCGCTGTCCGCGCCGCCGCGGCCTGTGCCCATTCGAGACAGAGGGCCGCCTGCCCAACAGCGGCCGCTGCTGGTTCGGGGCAACATTTGCTGTTGGGCATTGACGCCACAGATGTGGAGGAGGAGGAGGAGGTGGAGGAGGTGGAGGAGGAGGAGGAGGAGGGAGGAGGGAGGTGGAGGAGGAGGAGGAGGAGGAGGCGGTGGAGGAGGAGGTGGAGGAGGTAGAGGAGGAGGAGGAGGAGAGGAGGAGGAGGAGGAGGTGGAGGAGGAGGAGGAGGAGGAGGAGGAGGAGGTGACGGAGGGAGGAGGTGGAGGAGGAGGAGGAGGCCCCTCCCCGCCCGCGCTGCTTCCCCCAGGCTCCGGGCACGGGCGGGGCGGCCCGCGGGGGCGAGGCGGCAGACGCCCGGGCGAGGGCGGAGCTCCGCGAGACGAGGCGCCTCGTGGAGCAGCTGTGCCGCAGGGTCGACGGGCTCTGCCTGGAGCAGGAGGCGCAGGGGGGCAGCGTCGGGGAGGCTCGAGCGGTGGGCCCGTCTTCCACCACCACCACCACCACGAGTTGGGAGGGGGGGAGGAGGCGGAGGACGAGGAGCAGGAGGACGAGGAGGAGGAAGAGGAGGAGGAGGAGGAGGAGGAGGAGGAGGAGGAGGCAGAGGAGGAGGAGGAGGAGGAGGAGGAGTAGGAGGAGGAGGAGGACCCCCTCCCCCTCCAACTTATGGTGGTGGTGGTGGAGAACAGGCCCAGCATCGAGGCTTATGATGTTCCAGCCAACCTGAGCCTTGATCACCAGGAGGAGTTTCGAGCACCAAGGAAGCACCGAACCTGGAGGGATTTCACGTGTCGGGCCCCAGGAGGCCATACTCGTTTGACACTGCTTTCCGGGTGCTCGAACATATTTCTGGGATGCGGTCCTCAAGTACGATGGGAACAACATATTTCGAGGTTCGAGGTTTCCAGGCGTTGTCTTCGGTTCTTGGCGGTTTTTCGGCCTCGTGGTGCTCTCCAGCAGCTGCGCCTCGCCGGGCGCGTTCCTGGGGTGCCCGGATCGTCGGACGACCGCTGGAGGCCCGAGCAATGGCCCGAAAGCGAAGGGGTATCGATCGACAAGGGGATTGCGCTCGGTGGGGGAGACGCATCGCCCCCGACCGCCCATTCATCGCCGACAGGGGCATTAGTCCACGCCTCCCCGGAACGTGCTGCTTCGCCATCGGGGGCCGTCTCCTCCCCGACCTGCCGGCGATGCATCGCCAATTCCAGCTAGATGGCCCCCCCCCCCCTCCCTGAGCTGCCCCCCCCCCCCCCCCCCCCGTACGCTCCCCTCAGGAGAGGGGCGGGGAGCCCGGCTCCACTGCGGAGGAGGACATGATACGCCGCGCGACCCAACAAGCGCACACCGACAAGGACGAGAACGACGAGGTGCTCGCCAACAGCGCCCTTGCCATGGCGCCACCCCTGCAGTCGCTCGTCTACCTGGTGGCCTTCTCTGGGATAGTCTTCACCCTGGTGCCCGGGGGAGAACTAGTAGCTGCATAAGTAGGCTAGCCAGCATGGACCCCAAGCAGTAAGTTATTTCAACTCGGCTGTGTAAGAGATGCGGTGCAATATGTGTGGTGTAAGCTATGTGATGTACGGTAGGTTTCTCAAGCCACGAGTGGTCAACGCTACTGTTTGCGCCATCATCCCACCCTCTTGCCCGCAACTTGTTTGGCAACACCCATGCGGCCCCGATTGCGGTTGCCGATATGCGCTTGCTAGCGCAATTGTGCGGAAGCGCTGGCGCGCGAACAGCTCACGCGCAGGGCGACCAGCTGATTTAGCACAGCTGATCTGGCCGCGATGCCACTTACCGACGGGAACTTCCCAGTGCGTCTCAAAGGCCGCGCTGGCCCGCGGGCTCTTCAGTGCGGGTCGGTCATTCGGGTGGTCGGGGCACCATGATGACGTCGAGAAGGGCGGCAGCGATTATTATAGTAGATAGTAGCGATTGTGCTGGCGATGGTGACGATGAGGACGTCAAGGCCAATGACGGCGCCGATTCTGGTTCCTGGCGATGACGATGGTGATGTCCATGTCTTGGTGATGAAGGTGATTGTGTTGATGATGGCGGGTGGCAATGGCTACGACTGACGATGACGATGACCGCGGTGCTGCGACGTCGCTGATGGGGGTGATGGTGAGTAAGTGCGCGCGCGCAGTCTGTTCTGGAAAAACACGTGTGTTTTTTCCATGTGGTCTTGAAGAGCTCTATGTTGGAATCTTTCGAAGGCCAATGGTTTTGGACATATTCCAACACGCGCATGATACCATTTGGTCCGGATTCGTGCCTTGTGTGCATGTGCACCGCGCGGTCAGAAGAGAGTGCGGCGATGCTGTCATCGATTGTCGGAATTCCCCGCGGAGCACAGCAAGTTTGTGCTTACGCAGTGTTTTGTTCCAGGGCTCGAACTAAACAGTGTTTTGGCGATTCCGTGGGCCGTTCTCGTTTTGAGTTCGTTTTGAACAACTGCAGACGGAAGACAGGACGAAAGAACAGGAAACCAACCAGTCAAAACGAACATCACTGTTCAGCTCGCGCCCTGGCTTGTTCCTCGAGGTGTTCCCAGCGCTGGAGAAGCGTGGCGAGGTTCGCCGCCTGGTGGTAGCCGACGGCGACGGCCTCGAGGAGGGGCCGGGCCGCCGCCTGGGTGGGCCGGCAGGCGGGGGCGGGTGCAGCAAAAGGGCCTCGCCTTCGAAGGATCGGCGGGTTGGCATCTCTTCCCTCGGTGGGAGGCCGGCAGAATGCTGGCGGAGGCTTCCTCCTCCTCCTCCTCTTCCTCGTCCTCCTTCCCCTCCTCCTCCTCCTCTTCGTGCTCCTCCTCCTCCCCGAGGATCCTCCTCACTCGAATAGGAAAGGTCGCCGCTGTTTGGCCCGAGCGTCGACGCATGTATGTTTATTGTATGATGCGTGAAAGCCTCGCAATCTACATCTTGTTGCCGCCATGCTTTCTCTCGTGCAGCTTCCAAGCCCCGCAATTCTAGCTGGTAGCGGAACGGGGAGCGACCCCAGCTCGCGATCCACAGAACGTTCGAAGAGTGCGGTGCGGACGCAACCCCCCCTTATTTATTTTCATCTCCGCATCGGTACCACCCTTCATTCCTTGAGTAGCCTGTGTTTATGGCTGTTGCCCTTTCTCTGCTAATTAAAGCTGTGCGCGTCCCGCTTAGCTTTCAGCGGAAGAGATTCGCTCTCGCCCTGCAGATCCAAAAAACTGTGTCTATGGTTTTTCTGCAAGCCGAGCGGCAGCTCGCCTTGGACACCCTGTCCGATTGCGAGGGCAACAGCAGAAGGCGTGACCGCGATGAGGAAAGAATCGCCCGCAGGAGCGCCACGACGTTCTTCGACCCATCGCAACCCCACAAGCGCTGGCCGCAGCATGGCGTCGGGCATGATTGTGGGGCTCCTTCCTGGGCTAGCGCCGTGCTTCGGTACGTGTTCGATAATGTTGGCTGTTTTTGCGAGCGCAATGCGTCGCCCGCGTGGAACATTGCGTTGAGGGCCTTCCTCCTGTAGTTTCGCCAAGTCTTTGGATCTCCATCCCAGCTTGGCAGTTTTCCTCGATGATCTCCGCTCATCGTAGAACTTCGTGTCGACCACGAAGCTCCGCTACCATGCAAGTGGTATGCGGGATTGCGCAGTGGTATCTATCTCCTCGATATTTCCCTTGAACTCCGAAAGCTCAAGCTCGACCCATCGAATTTCCTTGTCTCTCCGCGCCTCTAAGCGCAAGCGAGGGGGCGCTAGGGCCAAAAAGGCGGCAATACACATATATGGATGGGGCCCTTACAAAGCACATCCATCACTCTTCTTATAATCTCGAATCTCCATGCCCATGCTTGCCCCGTACCAGATCTGCACGCCTGGGGCCCGCAGCTCATTGCGAGCCGAAAATCGACCGCTGCTCAGCATCCCGGCTGGATGAGGCATTGGCGGGCGTCGCGTCCTCAGTCTCCGTCTCCGCCTCGTCGGCGTAGGAAGCTGGAAGCTGCGGTCGGGCACGCCGCCTGCGGCATGCACGGCCTTTTCGAAGTCGTCGACGACCCTCGCGAGGTGCCCGCTCGGAGCCTTCTGCAGTGGGATGCGAGCGGCCCCCGTGGGCCATTGGGCCTGGATGTCGCCGCCGCCGGGCATGAGCAGCCCGCGTTGGCCCATGTCCAGGGTGGCGCGCATGGGCCCCATGCTGCGCAGGCCGAGCAGGCTGGGCGGATCGCTGCCCGATCCTTTGACACTGGGCGCCGTGAAACTGCGAATGGTAGCTTGACGCTGGTCTACAAAAAGAGAAGTCACATAAGACGACAAGGTTCGGTAAATCACGCGAAGTCGCATGTGCTGGTCCAGGCGAAGACGTCAATATTGCGACGGAAGAAGATCACGTGATCTCCGACCTCAGCAGGGGCGCCGTGGCTAGAGTCCACGCGTTGCCTCGGGGGGCCCTTTTAACGCCGGCCAGCGCCCCTTGCCGGGATTCTCTTGCCTGATTGGCAGATGAGATGAGAGCCTGCGTCAGCCCTCAGCTCGAGCCAGTCAGACTCGTCGTCGACACTTCGTGCTGGAGACAGCGATCCACTGCGCATGAAGTCCTACCATGCGAATGGACAGGCAGAGTCTCTCTCCTCGTTGTCGCTTGTCCTCCCACCGAGGAGGCAGAACGCGCAAAGGCGCGCGAGTCGCAAGGCCACGCGTCAGTCAAACACCCCAAGAAGGTGGAAGAAGTGTTCGGCGGCATCGGAGACGACCTCTTTGGTCTTAGCACGGAGGAGCAGCTCAAACGCTCGTCTCAGGACACAATTATTGCACGCTCCAGAAAATTCCCAGTCGGTGAGCACCTGGTGGGAACATACGCAGCAGGGGCCATCGCTGGTCATTGCGCCGCGTACCTGGTGTCCACTTTCCAGGCCACAGACGTCGCATGCCCTGGCCACGCTCCGCCCGTAGGACGGGCCCGAGTCAGCTGCGCGGTGGCGAAGCCCGCGCCACGCACATCGCCATTCGACGACAATTCGACGCAGGAGACCACTGAGACCTGGCTGCTGGTTGTGATCTGGGCGACCCTCATGCTCTAGAGCAGTCCCCACAGTACCTCAGGTCCAACAGTGTACAATGGTTGTCATGGCCCCGTCTTGCCGCAGTACCGGGCCGCTTAGCGGTCTCAACTGCCGTATCAAGCATGAGATTTGGCGGGCGCGCTGCACGGGGCACGCGCCGCGCATCTCCTTGTGCGGGCAGGTCGCGTTGTTACAGATGCACCGCGTGCGATGCTTCTTTGTTGAACAACCGAGTCCCACTTGGTTCAGCACGGCGCCGCCGTGGACGCGGTTGTGTTCGACCAGTGATGCCTGGCAGCGCAGGGGCCGCGCGGTCCCACGTCGCCGTTCCTGCCATCGCCCGTCAGGAACTTGAGGTGCAGCTGACGCCGCGACCGCGGTGTTTGCTGGCGTCGCAGCCAACGTGCCAAGACGCTCCAGGTCTGGCCATGGCGCTTAGCTGAGGGCGTGGCGCATGGCGTCGTCACTTTCAAAGCCGCGCTGGAGAGCTCCCTCGCGCTGATGGCGGAGCCTTGCCCAGCTACAGGGGCCCGCGTCAGCCGCCGACGCGCCGCCTGCGCTGGCGCCGGCGCGAGCAGCGGCAGCCGCGCCTACACCAACTGGCAAGGCCCGTGTCCGACCGAAGGCGACTAGAGCTCCCATGCGCCCGCGGGCGCGCAGACGGCCGCCGCCGCGCCGGCTGCCGAGCAGGCAGCCGACGCACCAAGCGCTAAACGGTATCCAGGATGTCCCGGCTGCCGCGGCAACCGCAGCCATCTGGGTCCACGTCGCATCGAGATCTCGGGGGGTGCGCAACCCCTCCGGAAGTCGCATCGCCGCGCTCATGTCCAGGATGCACGCGGGGCCCGCCGCCAGATAGAGCGCGCCCTGACCGCGCCGGGCGGCCACGCGAACCGCGCACGGTTAACGCGCCGGCCAACGCGGAACCTCCATCCGAGAGGCCCGAGCGCAGCTGTCTCAAGATCCCGCGGCAGGAATCCCCTGCGCCACAGGTGAGTCGCATCACCGATGGGCCGCATCCGGGCCGAGGCCCCATCGACGACCGGGAACCGCCAGCTCCAATCCGCGACGATCTCTCTGATGGCGACGAACCGCCACAACCGCCTGGCCCGTCAGCGCTCCGAGCTCTCAGAGTTTCTCGGCCGCAACCTCGAGTCGTGGACGCCGTGGCGGGTCGCGCGCCAGAACACGGGGCCAGTGTTTACGTCGCTCAGGTCTTTCGCATGCTACGAGTTGGAGGTGCATCGCAAGTGCGTAGCGAAATTTGCCAAGTTCATCCGCTGGGGGCAGGTTGCGCGGACTCAAGTTGCAAAGACACTTGCAGCATCCCGGTGCTCGAGTGCAGTTGCCCAAATCGTACAGTTGCCCAAATCGTCGCTGGCGTGGTGGGCGCATGCCGCTAATGCAGGGCCTGGGCCAATAACGCATTACTAATCACACCCTCGCCCGAGCTTGCCGCGTCTCCCGATCGGGAAGTTGACGGGGATATCTTCGTCTAAAGTTCTAGCATGTTGGATCTCGATGTTCGGGCCTTTCCGGACGCTGGTAGTGGATGGCGAACCTGGTATCCTCGATGCCGCAATTATGCCATTCCTCGATCGACGCGACATCGCGGTCCGAGCGCGAGCCCTCGACCAGCGCGCCCGCATGATCGAGCGGCGCGGTGCGATCCCACGACGCGCCATGCGTCGCATTGAAGAACAATTTCGGCGTGAAGGGCTGGGGGTCAGCGTGTCCGACCTACTATCTGAGGCAGCGTTCGCACGCGCATCGCTCATGCTTGCGCAGGGCGAAAAATTTGCCCTTGAAGTGCACATGGCGATGATGAGTTGGAAGTTCATGTCCGAACCCTCCCCCCCCCCGTGGAATCTTAACGCGGGCGGGTTCCGGGGTCCGCGGATCCGATGTCCTTCGGCTTCGGCTTTTAATTCGATAACATAAATGTCAAACCGGGTAAGCAGAGAATCCGCTGTCAAGAAATAAGACGGAAAACGGGCCCAGCAAATCCGAGATCGAATCCGCGCGGGCGGAAATCTGATCCACCGAAACAAACGCCAAAGCCACATTTGGATCCGCGCGAACGTCATGGGGTCCGACGGCGGTCACCTTGCGCGCGCCTGCTCAAAATTCCAAGCCGTCGTTCCGGTCACAATAGGAATCCATTTTCGTCCTGGGGATGCTTCTTGTGGAGACGCAACGTCATGCAACGCGTGATTCGGGCGGCAACCGCGGATGTTGCTGGACATTCTGGCACTTCCAGATGACGCGGCAGGCGCCGCGCGCAATTTGCACTGGCTCAGAGAGACCAGTTCCCAGATCGACCGAGCCTCCAAGACCAGCGCCGCAGTCGCAGGCCAGTCGCAGGCCGCAGCCGCAGTCTCAGGCCAGACTAGGGCCGCAGTCGCAGGCAGTCGCCGCAGGCAGGTGAGTTGGTCGACTTCTACCGAGTTCTGGCCACGAAAGATGTGGGCGGGCGGAGTGGACCAAACGCAGTCGTCAAGATGAGTGCCCATTTCCACAGCCGAGGCGCCCAACGATGCCGCCTCGGAGATGCGCGGCAGTTCATGGGCTCTGGTGGATTGGTTTACGGAATTACGAGCCAACCTACTATGCC